GGTGTGTGAAATCTTATCAAAAGAGTTTTTTTCGTTCCTGCCAACACTTTCGATTGATTCCCAAAAAACCCGTTTCCTCATTCTTTGTTATCGAATAAAAAGTTTCCCCACAAAACTTGGTGTTTCCATTTTATGCGTCTATGTTTTAAATATCCCTTTCAATAACTTGCATCAATAAAACCAGACTTTACAATTATTTCGCAAACCATGGGAATTTTCGTCTGATATGATTAGACGAATAGCAAACAAACGTGGAATCAACTATTTACACACTAAAAACTACCTAGTCTCCAATATGACATTTCGTCGGGTTTTTTGACGTTTTTTTTTGTTTTTTGTATAATAGTTGTGCCGTTGTCCATTGTTGGCAGCAAGCCCAAAATTCCAGATCTTTATTTTCAAAAATTCTGACAATATTACCCATCACTCTTAAATTCACTGAGAGGAAATATTTTCTTTCTCTGGCAATATGTTCACTAAAAAAACAAGGACTAATTCTTCAGACTATTCAAAGGTTGCTTTGTCCTTAAATCGTTTTCGAAAAACGCCTTCGATTCGAAGGTACATGGCAAATAAAAATTTTGAAAACGTAACGTATCGCAACACTTGAATGTTATTATATTTGTGTTTTTGTCACGCGAATAGGGTAGTAAAAAAAGAGTACATAGTAAAAACTAAGCTTTAAAAAACCCAAAAGTATTTTTTTCCTTACGGAACCACCTGTATTTATAATTTACACTGTAAAACAATAAAAATATAGCTTACTATAAGGTTGCCGCAAGATAGTGGTTTCTGAAATGTTTGGAAATTTTTCATTTGCAAAAATGCTCCGTAAGGGCAAGGATACAAATATGGTAAAATAGGGTGATTATTTATTGTCTAACGGCAATTTTTCACCTTATTTTGATCAGTTATTGGCAGTGGCTCTTCGTTGGTACCTCCACGGACTGCCTAGTCGAGCAAGGGGTATTCTCCATGTTCGTGCGAACCAGCTTTCATAAAAGGTGTCAATATGTTATGGCGAACTATCTTATTCATATTCGTTTATGTAACCAAATATTAGAGAACATAAGAGGTACCATACAATGAAAACAAACTACGAAAATAGTACGAGTGTAAATTATTTTACATAAAACAGCTTTTATAGCTATTCATATGCCGAAACGTTCGCTAGAATTGTTCCATCCGACTTTCCTGCTCAAGTGTGAGAGTGAGACCTTTATTAAGGTAATGTATAGTCATGCTGTTTCTACTTGTTCCAGGGACTAGGGCAGTTTGCTGAAATGTAAGTGCATTTAGGGTTTTCTTATTGGTGTAGGGTTTTCAGCCGAACAGAGCGAGAGATGAGAGATTGATAAACCTACTGGCTGTATAAGGTTCAACTCCCTTATACAACCAGTTTGTTAGTGTGAATTGCGACATTTGGCGAAAGAGGTTGACTAGCCCCTTTATCCTCGGTAGGCTGTCGATTATGTCTGGAATTTATCGGTTCATTGCACATAGCTCCGAGAAAATTTGGGTCCATGAGCGACAGGATAGAATTGGAAGGGGCGTCTTCAATGTTCCTTCGGTTTCTACACTACCTTAGGATAGCTGGACACAACAAGCGATGAGAGGGCGGAGGGCTTTTTTGGTCTGTGGAACCATTGTCTTTTTCGGGGTTGGAAGAAGACTTTGGGGAGCCGGATCTTGACTTGTAAGATCGATCGACTTCATCGATCTATCTCGCTTGTCGCTACTGACTAATTTTGCCCAATGCGAAGAGCGAGCATGGTTGACAAATGTGGCGGACGACTCCTCATACTGCCCTCCTCAGACAGGGTGCCCCACTTAGATAGTTAGGGATCACTAGGAAAAAGCGTCAGTTCAGTTGAGAAGTTAGGAAAAATATAACGGTTGCAAATTTTAAAAGTAGAGAGAATCGAAATTGTCATGTACGACATAAGCTTCAACAAAAAGGTTTGCATCATAGAACTCCAATCAAGTGGTCGGGAGTAGCGAGTAGCTAGGGAAATGTTAGGGAATTTTTTTGGGCACTCTGAGATGTGGGGGCACGTTAAGAGAAAGAGACAACTCTTTACCTTGCCTTGCTGCGAAAAAGCAGGGGCACATCCAGAGATTCAGACACATACTATAGTATGCTCTTGCGCAGAGCATGCAGGAGCACAGGGACAACAGGAGTTTGCTGAAATGTAAGTGCATTTAGGGTTTTCTTATTGGTGTAGGGTTTTCAGCCGAACAGAGCGAGAGATGAGAGATTGATAAACCTACTGGCTGTATAAGGTTCAACTCCCTTATACAACCAGTTTGTTAGTGTGAATTGAGACATTTGGCGAAAGAGGTTGACTAGCCCCTTTATCCTCGGTAGGCTGTCGATTATGTCTTGAATTTATCGGGGCATTGCACACAGCTCCGAGAAAATTTGGGTCCATGAGCGACAGGATAGAATTGGAAGGGGCGTCTTCAATGTTCCTTCGGTTTCTACACTACCTTAGGATAGCTGGACACAACAAGCGATGAGAGGGCGGAGGGCTTTTTTGGTCTGTGGAACCATTGTCTTTTTCGGGGTTGGAAGAAGACTTTGGGGAGCCGTATCTTGACTTGTAAGATCGATCGACTTCATCGATCTATCTCGCTTGTCGCTACTGACTAATTTTGCCCAATGCGAAGAGCGAGCATGGTTGACAAATGTGGCGGACGACTCCTCATACTGCCCTCCTCAGACAGGGTGCCCCACTTAGATAGTTAGGGATCACTAGGAAAAAGCGTCAGTTCAGTTGAGAAGTTAGGAAAAATATAACGGTTGCAAATTTTAAAAGTAGAGAGAATCGGAATTGTCATGTACGACATAAGCTTCAACAAAAAGGTTTGCATCATAGAACTCCAATCAAGTGGTCGGGAGTAGCGAATAGCTAGGGAAATGTTAGGGAATTTTTTTGGGTACTCTGAGATGTGGGGGCACGTCAAGAGAAAGATACAACTCTTCACCTTGCCTTGCTGCGAAAAAGCAGGGGCACATCGAGAGATTCAGACACATAGTATGCTCTTGCGCGGACCCTCAGGACGTAAAGGAGCTTGGACTCAAGGCGATTCTCAACTTCGCTAAAAGGGCGAGGCTTGTGATTTAAGTATTGTAGAGGTGCATAAGGGCCCGCTTAAGCGGCCTATGCACTGGCTCCTTATGGTGGCCGGGATGCCTCTAAAATTCAAGATTCATTCATTCATTCATGCTCTTGCGCAGAGCATGCAGGAGCACAGGGACAACAGGAGTTTGCTGAAATGTAAGTGCATTTAGGGTTTTCTTATTGATGTAGGGTTTTCAGCCGAACAGAGCGAGAGATGAGGGATTGATAAACCTACTGGCTGTATAAGGTTCAACTCCCTTATACAACCAGTTTGTTATTGTGAATTGAGACATTTGGCGAAAGAGGTTGACTAGCCCCTTTATCCTCGGTAGGCTGTCGATTATGTCTTGAATTTATCGGGGCATTGCACATAGCTTCGAAAAAATGTAGGTCCATGATCGACAGGATAGAATTGGAAGGGGCATCTTCAATGTTCCTTCGGTTTCTACACTACCTTAGGATAGCTGGACACAACAAGCGATGAAAGGGCGGAGGGCTTTTTTGGTCTGTGGAACCATTGTCTTTTTCGGGGTTGGAAGAAGACTTTGGGGAGCCGGATCTTGACTTGTAAGATCGATCGACTTCATCGATCTATCTCGCTTGTCGCTACTGACTAATTTGGCCTAATGCGAATAGCGAGCATGGTTGACGAATGCGTCGGACGACTCTTCATGCTGCCCCGCCCCCCCCCCCATCATGCCGTTGCAGAGGCGGGAAAGTTAAGGAAGGAATTCCCCTGGGTCCATGGCCGAGCTGTTAAACAGGGATCCAGAATTTAAAAGGATACTGCTAAGTATCAATATAGTGTATTTCATAGGTCTGTTGTCTATGATTATTTATGCTTTGAAATCGTAGCGCAAGGGTTTTTCTTAGTTTTTTTGAACTTTTAGGTGAGAGTGAGGACATTCCGTATTTCAGGAATGGTGATGAACTATGCTAAATATTAATGATAACGATATATTATAATTTTAAATTACATTTGGTATTTACCATTTCTATTAGGTACAAATTTTACGAATATCTACTTTTAGCTAAGAAGTGATTGGACATATTTATACATATTTTACAGAATTGTTTTCCGAAAACGTTCAGGCTTCCTTCCAGAATCGTAGCCCAAATATATTCATCAAGCTTTGGAGGGAGGACACTCCCCATTTCAGAAATGGCACAGGTTATAGACACTCCCGAGCGTTATAAAAAAGCTGTTGCAAATAATGTTCTGCCTTGATAGCTGGATGAATGTTGGTGGATAAAGATAGAGATTGAATAGGAACTATAGAAAATCGTTTAAAGTCCCGATTTGTAGTATGCTACAATACATGAAAACAGCAATCAACGAATATCTAGCATTTTTACAGGGTAAGCATTGGAGAGTATGGGATCAAGGAGGTTGGTTTTAAACTTGACGAACCACTAGACAGGTTGAAGATCTTGGAATCGTTCCCAAGAGATATATCTTCAAAACTTACCTTAAGAAGATTAAAAGATTTCCACTCAAACTATACTCGTATTTATGCTACTTATCCATGAAATAAAAGTAAATCTACTTGATGTTTCAAAATAAGCAGAGGTATTATTTAAATGGGAGTACTTATATAAACTCTCTTTGTAGATAAACCTGTGGATAATAGTAGTATGGTCTACTATCAATATATTGATGAAGCTTTACGAAATATTTACAGCCAGGGTACAAGCAAAAGCTTCTAAAAATGAAAGTCAGGGATATATTTGGAAGCTAACATTCTGAGACCAAAAATTATACTTCTTCACACTCTTGAAGATGATTGCAGGCTGGTACATCCAGAATGAACATCAATTGAATTGATGATTGAAATAATGAAGAGGTATTGTCGTGTGGTTAATCATTTTCAGAGAGATGTCTTGCAAAACACGTGGCCGACGTAAAATCGTCTAGTGTTTCTGAGGGATGAAATAAGTGAAAAGTGCAGTTTCATAGGTGTGTCCGTAGATGCTAAGTAACCAGATAACAAGATAGTAGTGGTAGTAGTAGCAGTAGTAGTAATTCTGGTAATAGCTACTGATAGTAGATCATTACAGGTATGAGACAAGATGCCCCAGCATGCAAGGTGGTTTGTAAAACTTAGGTACTCATTTCAGGCTGTGGCCACGCTATGGTCTCCAAAACAATATTTATTACGTTTTTTAATGATACTATTTGGTATTCATTATTTCTATTTTACTATCGCCAGCTGGATAAAGCACCTGGATTTATTGAGAAAATATATTTACAAGCACAATGGGTTACCACAATTCTTATTTCGTATTTCATAGATATGTTGCCTATGATTATTTATGCTTTAAAATTGTAGCGCAACTGTTTTCTTAGTTTGTTTCAGCTTTTAGGTGAGAGTGAGGACATTCCGTATTTCAGGAATGGTTTTGAACTATGATAAATATTGATGATAATGATACATTTATAATAATTTTAAATTACATTTGGTACTTACTATTTCTATTAGGTGCATATTTTACTAGCATATCTATTTTTGGCTAAGATGTGATTGCACATTTCTTGTTTTTTACGTATTTTACTGCTGTCTAAAAACTTTCAGGCTCCCTTTCAAAATCATAGCCCAAATCTTTTTATCAAGCTTTAGAGAAAGAACATTCCCAATTTCAGGAATGGCACAGTTATAGACACTCCCGAGCGTGATAAACGTGATATGAATACTGTTGATAATGATAGGCAGCTGTTTCAAAAAATATTCTGCCTGGATAGCTGGATGAATGTTGATGGGTAAAGAGAGAGGATGAATAGGAACAATAGAAATATGGTTTAAGATGATTGAGTCCCGAGTTATAGTAGGCTGCATGCATGAAAACACAATCAAACAAACATCAAATTTTTCAGATAAGCATTGGAGAGTATAGCATCAAGGGTGTTTTTTTGAACTATCAAGAACCACGGAATATCTTCAGAACTTACACGAAGAAGACTAATCTTTCACTCAAATTAATGCTATATTCATGAAATACAGAAGCCAACTTGCTGTTTTCAAATAAGCAAGATATTATTTTGAATGCGAGTACTTATGTTGAACTCTCTTTGTAGAGAAACCTGTGGATAATTAGTAGTATGGGTCTACTGTCAGTATATTGATAAGCTTTACGAAATATTGACAGCCAGGTTTACAAAAAAGTTTCTAAAAATGTGGGACATATTTGGAACCTAACATCGGAGGCCAAAAGTATTATTTCTTCATTTTTTTGAAGAGATTACAGGCTGTACATGCAAGAATGAATATATTGAATTGAATAATCGAAATAATTGACAGGTATTTTTACATAATCTTGAACTTACTTATTCTTCATGTTTCACTGACGTCTTACCCGATAAGTCAGTCTTATCAGGAAATCTAACTTCTGAAACCTATTGCAAAAAGCAGCGGTGCCATAAAAGAAACCTTTCAGCAAATCTTATCAGAAAGATGTCAGTGAACTACGAGGGGCGTTTTTAAAGTAAGAACCAATTGCGCATCATGTAGCGTGACCGTTCAATCTCGGACACTCTTGGCCAGCCTCTCACTACGCCGCTATAAAAAACTCATGGTCCATCAGTTTGGTTGGAAAAATGAACGTTAAAAAAGGGCCAAGAGAATTGTTTCTACTTTCAAATATTTCTTATAAACGCAAAAACTTTGATCTCATTGGAGATACGAGAAAATAATCCTTAAGGAATTTCAAGACATGGAAAAATCACCACGCAACACCTCTACACAGTTTACTAAGGCCCGTATCGTCAGTCGTCCCTACAATTGTAGGGCGCCTTTATGGCCTCCTTGATTGTCATAGTTTTCTACTTCTCCGTGTCAGCGCTCTATTTTGAGGTTATGTCACAAACATCTATTTGCATCAAATTGTGCTTGCTTTTGAGTTATATCATGTTTTATCAGCCTGAAATTTCCTACAATTTAAAAAGAAAACATATCTTCACAATAGGAGAGCGCTGACGCTGACACGGGACAAGTGTAATCTAGAAATTTTTGAAGGAGAGAAAGGACTATGACAATCAAGGAGGCCATAAACGCGCCCTACAATTGTAGGGACGACTGACGATACGGGCCTAAGTACTATCATTTACGGTATGTATTTTGAACTGTTACTTTAGCTCATTACACGGCTAGTTTTTAATCTACCACTTTCAAAAAACGATTTTTTATAGTTTCACATCAATTTTATATAAAAAATGATCATTTCTAATGATGTCTTCAATTTTTTCCAAAAAAAAAAATAGTGTCGGTCTTTATGCGCTAATGTTTCTTACCAAAACTCATGCTCGCTTATCGCTGTCCTGGGCTATGCTGGTTATGCGGGGTGCCATCTAAAAATCTTTGCATGTTAAAGGACCTTTCATACTATTGTAGTAACACAATGTATAGGGATATAAAAATGAAAAGAAAAAACACAGGTGTCACCTGGAAGACACATAAAAAAAATATCGTCAAAGTCATTGTACTGAAGAATGTCACAGTTGTTACGGAAACGTTTACAATAAAGACTTTTTTCAACACATGTGGTTTCGATTGGCGAAAGAAATTTGGGGGATTATCTTAAGTAATATCATAAGGGCATCTAAATTTTTCCGAAAAAAATCGAAAAAACATATTGTTAAGTAATATTTTAACAAGAAGCATGAGTGCTGGCAACAAAAATCCGAGTCGAAGACGCCAGGAAAAAATTAGATGCCCGAATGGTATTTGAGAAGATTATTTCATGAGTCATATCAGACACATAGCTGACAAAATGTATTGGCAATAAAATCGGAAAAATTGTTTATCGTCGTTTTCTGGTGTTTTAGGAGACCATAATTACTTGTTATCAATCAATCATATTGCAATTTTTGGTGACAAGTTTTGCCGCGGGTAAACTCGAAAAAACTGCAGACAGGTGCTGTCATACAATTTTTCCATCTAGAAACCATTTATTATTCAAAATTGCGCGTTTGTGTTTGGTAGAAATTAAGACGAGGGAAATAGTCGACATGAAAACCACAGGATAAAAGTTTCAGATGCTACAATAACCAAAAACTGGTCTTGACTTGTAAATGTTTATGGTGACTGTGTTAAAAATGAAAAAAATGATCATATTTTAAATTGTAATACTATTTACATTCATAAATAAAATTTCTCCCACTCGAATACAAAACGGTTCTTACTTTAAAAATTGACACTCGTAGAAACCGTTACTTCAATGCCACCTTTTTTTTCAGGTAAATAACTGTGGCATGCTGGTGGATTATAGATTTTCGATTTTCCAAATGAGGCCAGAATTGTGGAACGACTTGATTTTTCTTCACCTGATACAATTACTCTGAGCAGTGACGGCCGAGGTTTTCTAGGGGTTTCCCTCGCCCAAGTGCGAATGCAGTCACCAAAAACCATATTCCCCTAATAAATAGTAGGGAGGATGAAAATCATAGTTCTCCTATTAATGATCATGTAATTTGAGCTCAAATAGATATTAAATATATTTATATAGTAAAACTTTTTTTTTTTTCATAAAAGAAATAGGCATGGAATATTTTATTCTCGTAAAGCCCTGTTCGTGCAGGTGTCGTCACCTGTCAGTGCCAGTGTCCAGGGTCTTGCCACACAAATTCCGCTCATTCTGCTACGCTATATAGACTAAATTCACATGACCGGATCCCAAACACAGCCACCGACAGGTCACCGACCACCAGCGTCGCCAACCCCATCCGAGAGAATAACTGTATATGAGCTTGGAAAAAACTGCAGTTAACTGTAGAATATTATTACAAAAACTGTGGTTGAGTTCACATTCTCGACTTACTCATTTTTTCAATTTTAGGACATTATACCACTAAAAACTGAAATGCTTTAAGCGTGGTTTAAATAACCTCTATCGTACGTATTTTGGGTTGCCAAAGCCGAATTTAAAGTTATTTCATATGTATCTAATCCCGTTGAACATGTAGATCTATTTTGCGAAAAATTGCAAAACTAAGTTTTTGCAACTTTTGGGTGCTAAAAATCCATTTATCTTATCGATGGCTATCGAAGCTTTGTATAACAAAGTAATTTGGGTGACTTACAAGTCGTGACCAACAATGAAACATCATACACACGGCCGCATTATAAGAGGGGTCTTCTATGTAACATTTTTTCCTTGAGGCTTCATTAAAAAGGTACGGGGTGTTGAAGTTTAAAAATAAAAAAACATTTTTTAATACCTTCAAAACCGTTAACTGGGATGAACTAAAATTTGGTATGTGGATTTACCTAAGTATTGTCCACATTCAAAAGTCCTTACTTAAAATTAAGCGCACCAGTGGCGGAGATACAGGGGATTAGTAGCATTATTTTTCAAAATAAAAACAGTACCGTCATTTGGGGTTAAATTGATCAAAATATTCAGATTATTCGCATAATTTTTGTTATGTCACAATTTTATTTGGCTATGATGATTGAATCTGTTACATATTATGAGCAAGAATCGCACAGTCGGTGCACAGAACCCCAATGTTTGAAACTATGACCATAACGAATTCAAAAAGGGCTGATCAATCTCATACGTGTTTTGGGGCGAGATTGTTCACGTAGTATTAATCGCGTGCAAAATGAGCGTACAGGCTCCTAAATGAACGATCTCAACTCTGGTTGTTATATTTCTACTGGTTACAGAACTACAGCATTTTAATGTAGGTGGGGTGAGATTGTTCACTATGGGTGAGATTGATCAACTTTATTTTACTCTACATATTCCAATAAATAATTGCTGAAAACACCTATTTGGATAATAAACTACATTTATTTTTCCAGGTAACTCACAAAAAACTATTTTCATATATTGAATTAGGTGCTTACCCATATCTATAACTAATACAAGTAACTTAAATAAGTATCCTAACAGTTGAGGTTGAATATAAAAAAGAAAAACTACATTTCGAATACGTAGTCATGCCATAAGTTCTGTCCCTCGTTTTCAAACAAGTGTAGACCTGTTAATACTTGTCCGATTGTTTACATTGTGGTGTCAGTTGATTAAGCGCTTTTCGGGTAATTACATATACCTCAGTTTGTATTGATCTCTCGAAGCATAACGATGGAGTGGGGCAAGGCAGAGAACCGTATTGCAGTGATAGCTTTACATAAGTGTAATCACAGTGCTAGTCAGATTTTTGAACTCTTACGCGGCCTTCAAATATCGCGTAAATTTATGTCTAGGACCATTCAGCGGTACAATGAGACGTCCTCTGTTGATGAAAGGCCAAGAAGCGGAAGACCTCGTCAAGTAAGGACTCCAGCAGCCATCAAAGCCGTAAAAGCCAGGATTCAAAGGAATCCACTCCGGAAGCAGAAGATCCTATCCAGGGAAATGAAGATTCCTGTCCGGACGATGTCGCGCATCATTAAACAAGACCTAGGGCTAGGGGCTTACCGGAGACGTACGGGCCAGCGACTTACGGCCACCTTGCGACACATCAGGGCGACAAGATCCAAGAAGCTCTTGGAGAGGTACGCAGCTGGGGGATTCCGAAAGATTTTGTTCACGGATGAGAAAATCTTCACCATAGAAGAAAAATCCAACCGACAAAATGACAAAGTGTATGCAAGGAGTTCACAGGAAGCTTCGGAGATCATTCCGAGAGTTGAGAGAGGCCACCACCCTGCGTCAGTCATGGTTTGGTGGGGGGTGTCCTACGAAGGGGTCACTCAGCTCCATTTCTGTAACCAGGCCGTGAAAACAAAAGCGGCAAACTATCAGAGCGACATACTGGATCCTATCGTCAAGCCTTTAAGTGGTACATTGTTTGCCAACCAACACTGGGTCTACCAGCAGGATTCCGCCCCCGCTCACAAAGCTAAGAGTACGCAGCGCTGGCTGGAAAGCAATGTGCCAGAGTTCATTGCTGCGGAAGATTGGCCCTCAGGGAGTCCGGACCTCAATCCTTTAGACTACAAGTTGTGGGACCTGCTAGAGCAGTTGGCCTGCTCCAAAGCCCACCGTAATATCGAGTCCCTGAAAGCGGATTTGATCCGATCAGCGGCAGCTATTCCTTTGGAAGCTGTGCGTGCAGTGATAGATGAGTGGCCCGCGAGATTGAAGCAGTGTGTGAAGGCCAAGGGGGGACATTTTGAATAAAACTGTTTGATTATGAATTCTAAAAATGTTGTCGAATAAATAATATCTTTCATATAAATATATCTTATCTTGTTTCATTTTTATCATGAGATTATCATGGGACAGAACTTATGGCACGACTATGTATATCTATCATATTATCAAAACGATAGGTGATAAGGCCATCTGAATTTTCGATGACAGGATCCGGCAACACAGCTACTATGTCTGGAAAATCCACTATAAATTCGTCGCCATCTTGAGCTTTAAACTTATTTTTAGATCCATCTATAGACGTTAATCCCAACACCTCGAATTCTCGAACATTTTGATTCTCGGTCACATTTTGCACAACGGCAATATATCGATAAACTGTTTTTTTTCTTGATCCACCACATACTTTAACTACAAGAAATTTGCCAGGAAATATATCTCTTTGTCTTAATTCAAAGTATTCGGTTTCCGGTTCGGCGATGGTATCTAATGAGTTTTCACTGGAGCTATCATTAGTATGAGGATCGTCGTTTGTTTCCGAGTCACTCGATTCTTCATTTGGAACAACACTTTTCCCAGAGTCTACAGACAGCTTTTGACGCCTCATATTCCTTCTTGATGGCCCTACCATGAATCGCTGCTGTTGCAGATATCCTACAATAACGTTGCCCAGCGCATCTTCAGTATTCGTATCAGTAGTTTGGCTTGGAATTTTTCGCAGAACCCGTTCAGCATCCAGAGGAGCTATACCAGTTGCACGAAATGAACTTATCAAGTCTTCCTTTATAGCATTGTTATGTTTTTGGTTCGTTTCTACAAGAGTAGAAGCTAATAGACTGGGAAAATCCTTTTTATCCAGAGTAGATTGATGAAGATGAGTGTTCTTCCATTTTGTTAGGGAAGACCTCCAAGCTATCTTAAAAGGACGATAAAATCCGACATCTAATGGCTGAGTGAGATTGGTCGAACACTTTGGGAGGCAAACGAAAGCGACATCGTTTTCTCCACACTGTCTTAAAACGCTTTCTGTGAAATGGGAAGACAGGTTGTCTCCAATTAACACTTTCCGACCAGGAAGAGATTTTGCATGAGGAAGGAAAGCTGATTCAAACCAATCTGTAAACGTTTGAGCGTCCATCCATCCATGTTGGGTCCGATTATATCGCGAGCCGACACTGCAGCATCTATTGTTGCAGCAAGGCTCGCCCTTGGGACCAAGCTCAATCCACTGCTTCCACATTTTCTCAGCCTTATGAATAACGTATGGTGGAAGCAGCACACCAGAAGCCGACCCGCACATCATTATGGTAGTAGCAGTTTTGGTAAAGTTGCATATCCTTTCAGGGTACTTTGTGCCGCGCCGAAACAGCATTTTTTGTTTTCCGGGATCATCCTGCACATTTGTTTCATCATAGTTGAATATATTACAAGCTGGGATGTCCTTTAATGTTTCACTCAAATTTTCAAAATAATGGACTATATCTTCCCTTGAAACATTGGCCCGAGCTCTCTTGATGTTCGATGCAACTTTTTGGCGAATATCTTTCTTATGTCGTTGTAAGAAAGAACGAGCCCAATCTGTTCCAGGCATGTTTGCTCTAAACTTTCCAATATTGCGACCCTGACTATCCAGATAGCTTTTAGCTATATAGCGCAAATCAGTAAGCGTAAGTGGGAATCCCCAATCTGAACAAATAGTTACTGCTTTTACGAAGGCAAGCTCTTCCGCATTTGAAAAAACTGTTTGACCTTCAGATTTTAGAGTTCTGATTCCCATATACTTATTCCGAAGGGTACCAAAAGGGATATTATGTGCAGCCGATGCTTGACGGAGGGACCATCCATCTTCTACCATCTTTTTGAGAGCAGCTTCTAGGATCTCTGGGGCATAATCCACGTAACGGAGTGATCCAAGTCTTCTTTTATAATTCCTCGGCATGATTAGGATTCATCAACTGGAAGAAACAATAAAATTATAGCTGAATCCAATCATAATTTTATTAACAATACAAAAAAATGTACTCATATTTTTAGATATGGTGTGATTGATCACTGAAAATTGATCAATCTCGCCTCGTCTATGCGAACAATCTGACCCCAACCATTAAACATCTCAATATTATGAAAAGCACGCCACTGTTCATTCCCGCTCGACTACACCATAACCTCAAAATATCAGCAAACATGCATAGTATGACGCAAACAAAAATACACATCAGCATTTTAACTTACCTGGCAAATTTTCAGATAGTTATTCTATGAGCCAAAACCGACACCTTCAAAAACACTGACTTTTTACATGAAATAAGCGGCACCGCTAGCTTATACGCATACCGTATCTCCAGCTATGTTTCCTCTGACGAACACAATAGCTTTCGCTGTGAATGGTTCTCTAGTTCTGGCGCTAAATTCAAATCTATGAGAAAATGATCTGGTGATCAAACTCGCCCCTTGAGATCAATGTCACCCCAATCGACGGTACCCCACTGTTTTTTTTTCGAAACGCGCAATAACTCGAACTTTACCTTCAATTTGCTACAAGGAATTACTATTGTGTTTTTTCCTAGAGTGCATTGTTTTCGTAAAATAAAAAAAACGAATTAGATAAAGCTTTATTCCAATAAATAATGTTCAAAAATACTACCATTCTGACGGATAAAGGTGCGGCATCTTTTCCGCAAAATTTGTTGCGGATTGAATTTGATGAAACGCATTATCTATTCGTTCTTGTAACTGATCAACAGTATTAATTTGTTCACCATACACTAGTTGTTTAAAAGCGCCCCACAAAAAGAAATGCAGTGGGTTCAAACCAGGAGACCTCGCAGGCCAATGTACGGGTCCATTTCTGCAAGTCTAAAATGATTATCTAACCATGTGGTTATGTCACGACGAACATGCGGTGATGCACCGTCCTGCTGATACCACATTTGTACTCTCGTTGCTGACGGAACATCATCTAACACATTTTCTATTTAATTCTCTAGAAAAGCTAAGTATGAGTTTGCATTTAAACGTTATGGCAATACGTGCGTAAACAGTTGGCTATTGAAAATGCCGCACTAGATATTTCTAGAAAACCTGTGTTGAATCGAGTGGATTCTTACAGAACGGAGATATGTTTATTATGAGAATTAAAGGTTCCACTCCTCGTAAAAAGCGATTCATCTGACCACAAAACCAAATCAATAAAATCTGCATTATGATTATGTATTTGCAGTAACTACTCACAGAAATTTCGCCGTTGCGCTTCGTCGCCGGGTTGCAGACATTGTACATTTTGACGATGTAAAAGTTTCCAGATTTAAAATTCTCCACGCAAGACTTTGGAAACATGGTAACTGGGCTGCAGTCGGCCTAGTACTTGTACTAGCATCATCCAACGCCAGCTTAATCACGTTGTACCTCTTGAACAGTATGCCGGGCAGCGTGGCCTCTAACCCCGGAAGTTTGGCAATTCCATATTGAAGAAGTCTTATAAATGAACGCGTAAAAACCTTTGGGGTAGGTTGGCGTCTGTTAGGAAATCTACGTTGATACTGCCAAGAAGCCTCTAAAGCACTTCCATGATAGAACCCGTATTCAAAAATAATATCTGCGTACTCATTATTGCTAAATTCCATTTCACAACACTCAAAAATGGAAAAAAGAGACTTCGACTTGATTTTTATAAAAAAAAAAATGGTAGTAGTAACGATAACAACCGTGTAACACATAACTTTGACAAACTATCTTCCAAGAAACGTAAGATGGCATCAAGGCCCCCTATTTCATTTTGAAGCTAATTGTAATTCAGCTCTTCATGAATGATCTAATTTGTTTTATTTTTATTTTTACGAAAACAGTGTACTCTGGAAAAAACAACAGTAATTATTTGTAATAAATTGAAGGTAAAAACAGTGGCGCACTATTTTTATTTAGAAACATAATTTTACTAATCCCCTATATCTCCGCCACTGGTGGACGTTAATGTTAAGTAAAGACTTTTTAATGTGGACAATACTTTCAGTTGACGGTTTTGAAGATATATGAAAAAAATGTTTTTTCTTTTTAAACTTTTTAAACCCCGAGGAAAAAATCTTACATAGAACATAGAAGACCTCCTGAAAATACGATCCTGTGTATGATGTTTCATTTTTGGTCCCGACATAGTGAAAAATTCTACAGTTTCCTCGGATCCGATTTGGGATGAAAAATTGGTAGTGAATCCTAGAACTGATTTGACATCGAATTCAGAATACATATAAGCAACTGATTTACCTAGAAAACAAGCTGCCAGAGCTGGAGGTTTTTTATTAGTCGTTTTTAGCGACACAAAAAAGCGGATTATAAGAATGGTCAGACGTCAGTGATATTATATCCTGATATCCACTGAATCAAACCAGTGTCTTGATGCCTTACTGCAACCAACATAACAAAGCGTATGTTTTGTAAACGCTAGAGCTAGTGACAGTGGCGGACCGCAACCAACATTACAGAGCGTAACCAACATCACAGAAGGCAACCAGCATTACAGAGAGTATGTTTTGTAAATGCTAGTGCTAGTGACAGTGGCGGACCGCCACCAACATTGCAGAGCGCAACCGGCATTACAGATAATGTGTTTTGTAAATGCTAGAGCTAGTCACAGTGGCGGACTGCAACCAACATTACAGAGCGAAACCAGCATTACAGAGTATGTTTTGTAAATGCTAGAGCTGGTGACAGTGGCGGACCGCAACCAACATTACAGAGCGCAACCAACATCACAGAAGGCAACCAGCATTACAGATAATGTGTTTTGTAAATGCTAGAGCTAGTCACAGTGGCGGACTGCAACCAACATTACAGAGCGCAACCAGCATTACAGATAATGTGTTTTGTAAATGCTAGAGCTAGTCACAGTGGCGGACTGCAACCAATATTACAGAGCATGTTTTGTAAATGCTAGAGCTATACTCTAGGCGCTGAAGAAAGAAACTAAACCCAAACAAATACACGCATATTGCTCGTGAGTGAGTGTTTAGGCGCAGGAGACATTACAGGACCGCATCAAGATATTATGGGTAGTCATCGAAAATTTCATACAAGATAATTATTATCTTTTACAGTAAATTTCAGTTAGAGATTCACAAATGAGTTAACTACACTTTTTAGTTATTAGTAAGTAAGCTGCGCGCACTCATTCAGAAGAGGAACTTGAATCTTCTGAATCGTTTAAATGAATTATTAGAGGTTCAATTTGGGTATCGATGACATTGTCCAAATCCCACATTTTGACCTCAACCTTCTCCCGAACGTGGCGGATACAGTTTTTCCATTCCTCTGCCGTAACTCTATTGACTGCGATGTGAAAGAGATTTTTAACATCAGAAAATTTATAAGTATTATTATTCGACGCCACGTATTGCTTTATGTTGGCCCAAATCAGCTCAATAGGGTTCAGCTCACAATGGTAGGGTGGCAGTCTCAAGACAGTTTTATTTTGTTTTTTGGCCATTTCGTCGATCATTTTAAAATCGTATTTGTATTTATGTCTATTGACTATACTTATCAATTCACCCTTGACAATTGTTTCATCAAAATCGATCTGTTTTGAGGCCAGCCATTGTTGTATGTTTGCTTTTTTAGTTGCCATTGTGGGAATTTTTTCTATTTTTCTAGAATGGTACGGGGCATTATCCAGTACAATAACAGCGTTATTCTCCAGCTTTAGTAATATTTTGGAGAACCAATTTTCAAAGGAATTGCCGTCCATCTCCTCATGATAGTCCCCTGTCTTTTTTTATTCAAAGGCCCACAGTGCTTCGGGAACAAAGCCGTCTTCACTACCTACGTGACAAATGATCAGCCGTTTGCCTTTTCCTGGAAATAAATTATTCCTTACACTATGGATTGATTAAATTTGAAGGAATGAGGCAATTGAGTTCATTTAGCTGAATTTAAGAGTCACGGAATGCTGATCAAAAACTGAAAAACGTAGAAAATTGAAGTTTGCAACTTCTCAAAACCCATTCAAAGCAAATTGACTGCACCCAAAAATGATAATAAATTTCAAAATAACGCTTAAAAGAGGGTCGAAGTTTTTTTCCTAATGACTACACTGCGAATGCACCATTTTTGGAGAATATCACACATTATCTGCTATCACAGCATATTATTTGCCCGAATTTATCAAAATTAAATTGCCGGATAGATGAAGGAGCTTACCTGCAGGATTTTTCAATCCAGCCGAAAGACCGTCTAGAAAAGCCTGCCTTGATGATGTTACTGATTTGTCGACCCAAACTTTCGCTTGAGTATGTCCAGCATTCACCCACGTTTCGTCCAAATAGTAAATTTTTCTTTTTTCATCGCGAAACTTCCGAATCTTCCTAAGGTATTCCCTTCTCCACACAACAATTTCTTCTTTCTCTATTAACATACTGTTTCTTCCCCGTTTCAAGAATCGAAAATTAAGTTCCTTCAAAAGTTTTCGGAATGTGGTTCTTTTAAATGATGGAAGATCCTCATCAGCATTAACTAATCTTAATATCTTATCTACTGTAGGTATCTCATTTCGGAAGAAAAAATTGTGCACTTTCCTCCTGATGGCAGTTCTGTCAAAGTCATCTACTCCGTCCGTTATCCTTTTTCTTGCAGGATACGGTTTTGGCTCAGAAAGTGAGTGAGTGCTCCCATATTCCTTAATGATCCTATAAACACTGGACCGACATACTCCAGAAATATGTGCTACCTTACATATAACTTCGTCCACGACCAAATCGGGTTTTTCTTGAATTTGGTTTTTGTATATATTTAATATTATTTGTTTTTCATTTGCACTTAAATGTAGCTTCTTAGCCCTTTTTTTGGGTGGGGTTGCGCTGATGTCAACCACTTCGTCGGCTGTATCTGTGTCAGCCATCGTATCTTAGGCAATATATAAACAAAACGTTCCACTCGCGAAAAACGAGTATA